AGGAGAATTAAACACCAGCACGAAGTGCAAAGGTGCATTTATGATTCCTGAATTCACCGAAGATTAGAATTATCGAGTGGATTTACACGTCACCAAGAGAGTGGGGGCGTATGACATGATCTTAGGTCGAGACATTCTCTCTGTTCTAGGATTCAAGTTCGATTTTACTACCATGTCAGTGGAATGGGACGGCGCCTCTATTCCTATGAAAGACACCGACACCAATGAGAAGCAAGAACTTCTTCATTCCTGATCCTAACGCTGTTGATGACAGTGCAGATCGTCTCAAGAAGATTCTTTCGATGCTAAATACAACCAAGCTGACTTAAGGCAGGTTTGCCAAAGTCAAGATCAGTTAAACACGGAAGAGAAGGAACAGCTTCATTCCTTACTGATGAAGTACTCTGACCTATTTGATGGTACTTTAGGAAAGTGGCAGATGGGCGGACGACTACGAGGTAGAACTTCGTCCCGAGCTAAATCCTATTATGCTAGGGCTCACCCTACTCCACGGGTCCATACCAACATCTTAAGAAGGAGGTTGAACGTCTCTGCAAGGCAGGAGTAATCAAGAAGGTAACGTTCCGAGTGGGCGGCACCAACTTTATCATTCTCAAGAAAGATGGATCATACGATTCATCTCTGATTTTCCGGAACTGAACAAAAGGATAGAGCGGAAGCCTTATCCTATCCCAAAAATACAGACATGCTCTTGAATAATGGATTCAAGTCGGCTACTAGCTAGACCTGAACACGGGACATACCACATCGAGCTGACACATCACTCGAAGCAACATGATACCATTGCACTCCCGAAGGAAAGCACGAGTACCAGCCATGGTTTGCCAATGGGCCTATGTATAGTCCCGACATTTCCAAAGGAGAAATGAACACAGCATGAGACTTAGAATACGTCCGTGCATACATTGATGATCTACTCATCCTAACTAACGGCGATCTCCAGATCCGTTAAAAGTTGGATGAAGTTCTCCAAGACTCGCAAGAAGCTGATTGAAATCAACTACCAAGGTCCTTCTCGAAGAGGAGAACTTGAATACTACTTACTGGATTACTCGAGAAGGAATCCAACCCATAACAGAAAATAGACGCGATCCAGAATATCGCTCTCCTACCACAAAAAGAACTCGTAGATTCATTGGACGAACTACTATACGAGACATGTGGATCAGACGCTACATGTACTGGCCCACTCGCTTCGTTGACTCAAAACAACGATGTGAAATGGGAAGTGGAACACGACAAAGCCTTAGCCAGATGAGAAGGATCATCAGCAAGGAAACCTTGCTCCGCCTACCCTGCATTTCAACGATACATTCGTTATCCACACGGATTCGAAGTTATACTCACTAGGTGCGTAATTTCCCAGAAGGAGAAACCTATCGCGTTCTACAGTAGGAAGTCAACCCTGCGCAAGACACGTTACACATTACCGAGAAGGAACTTCTCAGTATCTTAGAAAACTCGAAAGAGTTTCGTAACATTCTTCTGGACAAGAGATACGTTGTACATACGGACCAAAGAATCTAACATGTAAGAACTTCAATACGATCGCGTTATGCGATGGCGCCTTATTCTGGAAGAATACGGCCCTGAACTACGGTACATCAGGGGCGAACAGAACATCGTGCTGATGCGTTTCGAGACTTAACATCTCCCAACAACGACGGTTCTTCAGAACAATGGAAGCCAGCGAGATCGGTGAGCTCATGGCTGCAGACGAAGGAGGACTTCCCTAGCGAGTTCCCCTCTCTCGTTTCCCGAGATCGAACATCGTCAGAAGGACGACAAACGATATCAAGAAACTCCTCAGGGACAAGCCAAACGACTACAAGAAGCAATCTTTCCCAGAGGGGATAAGTACTACGACTTAGTAGTCAAGGCGTAGAAAATCGTCGTACCTAAACTATGCAGAGAAAGCTAGTTGTAATGGTACCAAGGTGTGCTGATGCACTGGCGAGACTCGCACAGAAATAACCATAGCCAACCTACACCTGGAAAGGACTGCGCAAGACTGTTCAGGCCGTATGTCAGCGTTGCCAAAAGCTGCCAGATGAACAAACCCAAGACGCGTAAGCTGGGATGATGCTCCAAAGACTTGCAAGGAGATCCCTTGGGAAAGACTATGTATGACCTGATAGGTCCTTACAACGTCGGGATCCTAAGAAAAAGAATTCCTGTAACACTTCATTGCTTGACAATGATTGATCCCGTAACCGGATGGTCGAGATTGCAGAGATTGCTCCAAGGCAGAGACGAAGTAGCATCGTCCTGAACAAACGTGGCTTACTCGGTATCCATGCCTGCTGAGGTTATCATGGATAGAGGACGCGAGTTCCCGCAGAGGTCGAAAAGACACTCCGGGATGAATACAGACTTCGTCGCAAGTTCATTACAGCGTAACCCTCAAGCCAACTCTATGGTCGAGCGTGCTCATCAAACCATACGTAACTTGATCGCTTTTCAAACATCAAGTGCCAAGACGACCTCTGGAATGGATCCTGGGATGGAGTCCTCACGGCGGTTCGCTTTGCAATGAATGCCACGATTCATACCACCTTGCGCGCAACGCCCGCACAGCTCGTGTTCAATCGTGACGCGATTCACACGTCCGGTTCGAAGCCAACTGGAAGTACATTAAGGAACGTCGCCAACGACTAATCCAACAAAACAACGACAGGGAAAACGCGACGCGTGTCCCTCATCAATACAATGTCAACGATACCGTGATGATTCAACAGTATCAACACCGCAAGTATGGTCAGCCAAAGTACAAAGGTCCTTACACTATAGACCGAGTCAATGACAATGGCACTGTACGGCTCCAACATGCTACCGCCAACGGCGGCACAGTCTACCAGACTTGTTGGAACATAAGGTATATACACCCATACAAGGCCTGATCCCCTTGTAGGATTGCCATCGTGCGACGCACATGTCTACATCCAAATCTCATGAGAGTGCCCCGCACTTTAAATCATATGTTCTCCTTGTCCGACTGCTGTCGCGCCTTCTGTGACCCTTGTCAGGGGGTGAATGCAATACACGGCTCTTAGCCTTATTCGCGACTCGATCCTAGATAGGGTTTGAGTTCGACTCATGACTGAGTCTCTCGTGAATAGTCATTTGAGACAGGGTTCTCAATGACCGCGCTAGTCATACTAGGTTGATGATGAAACATCGCTCTAGATATTTAGCCAGCGTGGAGTACTTCCACGCTACTAGACCCAGGCTAGACAAACCTTCCATGCGTTCCGTTTTAGGATCGTGGAGAGACGTAGGATTACTACCGCAACCTACTCCATCACACTTTATAGTCTCCCGCGGGAAGCCAGATCTACGATCCCTTGATGATGATCTCTCTCGTTGATTAGTTTTCATAGCTTTCTAATCTCTCTCATAACTTTCATTCTCTCAAACTCAAAACACTCGAAAGATCTTTACACTAGCTTTTAGCGTAGTGCACATCACAGCATCGTACGTATCCAAAATGGCCTTCTTTTTGAACAATGTGTGCATGATCTTGATTGCTGCTTTCTCGTTTTTCTTGAGGGGTATAAAATTTGACATGCATCTCTCACATAATCTTTGAACTCTTTCATTGTTTGCCTACTTGGCTCATCGCATTTGCCCTCTTGCCCATTATCTGCATTGGTTTGAGCTTCCTCATCAGACGGATCAGCAAATGGATCAAAGAAATCTGCAACATCACTGGAGTCGGCTTCACTTGCCTCATCCACCGTATCCACTGCCTTGCACATTGGGAAGGGGAGCATCGTGTGATGCGTTTGCACTTGCCTCAACGTCTTCCTCATGTGCTCCTTGTGTCAACAGTTCTCCATCCCAATAAGCTGCAATACTATCTGTGGTGGCATCCACTGGTAAGTCACCTCTTGTCTGGAGTGCTTCTTCTTCTCTGTCAGCGATTGATTCGATGGCCTCTGATTCTGGCTCCAAGTGCATCTTCTTCCTGGGTCTTTCCTCATCACTATTTTCCTCTGCACTGCTTGTCTCCTCATCTCGTGCTCTCCTTTTGCCACCACCGCCATTGTCATCCTCCCCACGGTCATTGTCGTGGGAGTCAGGGTCAGTCCGTGTCTGAATCGAATGCGGGATTCGGCAAACTGTATCCAGATGCCGCTTCAAACCCCAGTCGGTCTTGCACGTTTTTGAGCAGTACGGGCACTTGAATTTGACCATTGTGCGTGTTTATTTTGTGCAACTGGAAAAGATTTGAGGGGTGGCCAAAGTTTTTGCCTTGGATAAGCGCAGAATGCGGTCAGGTCCAAGGGGCATAAGGAAAATGAATGCCGTTTGCGAAAACTGTTGATAGCTTGGTGCACAAAGAATGTGCCCATTTGCATGTTGAAGCAGGCGCACCCATAAGAATCTTGTTCAATAGTAAAGAATGTTCTGTTCTCCATGCACTTTCGTTAAGCATATGCGTAAACACTAGTTGTAGCCTTGCTTATTATGACGCAATGTACCGTACGAATCTATAGGCAACATCAAGTTCATTTGATGCAAAGCTGAGTTAATAGTAGGCACCTGCATCAGACTGTAGAGGCTCTTGCACAAGACCATCACGCACAAGCACACTGGTAAATTGGGTGGCTAAAATGCGCTTCTTAGATGCACCTAGCACCTACAACCAGCACATTACCTGACACCCCAACCTGTCCTCCATCTCCAGGTGTCAGTTCCACCAGCTCCAGCTCCCAGTCTAGCTCCCCTGCTCCTCCAGGGCCACCTCCTACTCTAGCTTATATAAAAAGTACTAGTTTTAGGCAGACTACCTATCTGGTCCGGAGGACCTTTGTCAACGCTGGTACGAATCGAGCCCGAGGGCCCAAGCAACTGAGTCGTTTATGTGGGTGTTCGCACCTCCTACTCTAGCTTCCGTTTCTCCAACATCTATTCAACCTCCCTCCTCTCCTCCATGTGTGGCCCACCTGCATCACGTCTGCCCTCCGCCACCCCCAATGTGTCCTTCAAGTCCCTTGTATCCAGATGTTCTGACACTGGCAATGGCCGAGATCGACTGCCTAAAAGCAACCATTGAGACTCAGTCCCAGCACGTCTGTTCCTTGGAAGCTGAACTGAACCAGCAGCAGCAACATAACCAGTCCCAGTCCCAGCACATTTGTTCCTCCTTGGAAGCTGAACTGGTCCAGCAGCACCAACATCACCAGTCCCAGATTGACACACAGCGCCGCCAATATCAGACCCAACTGGTTACTCAACACCTGCAGTTTCTTCAGCACCAAAGCGAGCTCCAAGAGATTCAAGCACAACAGCACCGCGATAGCCAGGCCCACATTGAAGCAATGCCAGCCCAAACCTTGTCTCTTTATGATCAACTTGCACAGCTTCGAAGCACACCCAGTCCCTCTGCTACAGATTTCAGCACTTCAGATAGTGGCTCTGGCGAAGCTTACGCAACAGGCATTCCTGTTTGCCCTTCTCCATCCACACCGGCACACCGTCTGCTCCTGTGCCCACCAGCTCAGGCAACAGCATCGATGCAGCCTCTGGCGCACCACAGTCACTGATGAAAGCACCACCAGAACCCGATACCAGCACTCCTGTGAAGATCACCGTCAAGGCACCAGCTCAATCCTCGGGGCAGCACTCTCCCCAATCTGTTGCTGACTTTCAACCATCGTCATCTGCCGCACGTCATAGGTCACTGCCATCTTTGTGCCCATGCTACTCACCCAGGACTACCAACCACAGTTCTATGTCTACCAGCTGCACACCGACCTCCCATTGGTCTGATGCCATGAATCGGCCATTCTATGCCTACCAGTGCTCACTGTGGTCCACGCAACAACCACACCGGCATCATTGCTCCCGTGCCTCTCTAGCCAGAGAGCCGCATTGGGTCCCTGGAGACTAACCCCTCCAGGTGCCCCAGCTTGTAGTTTGTCTCGTATCGTTGTGTGACTTTCTGGTCGTTTGTGAAGAGTTACAATGGTTACTATGTGAAGCAGGGGATTACCATAGAATAGCTGACGATTTAGCCAGGGGCAGATAGTTAGTCGTAAAGCACCTTCCGGAGTTTTTACACTTTCTCCGGTGGGGGGCTTACACTAGGCCGGTTCCTAAGTGAGCTCCTCCGTGCGTCTGAGGTATGCCGGTTCGTTATGGCACCGTTCAGCGGGATTGTCTAGCGAGGTGTAGCCTATAAAATAAAGAAACTACTAAATATGCAGCCAAGCCTGGGGGTACACGAGCTGAAATCCTTACAGGAGCTCTGTTGTTGTTTGTTGTTCCTCTGGGAGAGGAGGTAGATATCAATGGAGGAGTGGTAACAGTAGCAGGCGTCGATCAGTCAATCAGTCTGTATAGGGATAGGACTGAGTGGATCAACTGGTATCGGTGCCAACAGGGACGTCGGGAGAAACCCAGAGTGGCCAGTGAGAAAGTAAGAATACAGGTGTAATTCTCTTCTCGGTGGTCACTGCAGGTATCTCGTGAAGTCCTTCTTGATGATAGTAGGCTGCGTACAGAGGAAGAGGAAGAGGAAGAGGTACGGTACGGAGAAGAGGTACGGTCGCGGCAAGATGGATCGATTCACGGAGTCGCGAGTCTTGGATTCGATTCGAAGATAGATTCAAAAATTCGATTCGAGTCAAGGGATTCGGTGAGTCAGTCGCCTTAGGGGTAAGGTTAACGCGGCTGTTGTTGTTGCGGAATTGTTCGATCGTACGAAAAAGGACCGACAATGGTGGTTTTGACGGTCGAGATCGGAGAACCTGCCCAACGTAATAGGATTGCGATTGGGATGGCTTTCGGTTGTGGACCTTCAAAAGTCTTGTTGTGTTCAATTTCTTCCAATTTGGTCGTTGGCGGCCGAGAAAAGAAAACCCGCCCAAACTGGTAGGATTTCAAAATTGGGATGGCTTTCTAATCTGAACCGGAGAACGCCGTTTTGATAGTCGCTTGATAGGGGAGGTGCGCTTGATAGGAGATACCAGAGGAGCTGTCAATCCTGTCAATCGTAGAGCTTGAATGGGAGATGAAGAGAGGAAAAAGGAGGTTTGTTTTCCGTGATGATGTTGAGTGGATTCCTATAGTAAAACAGTACTCTTCAACAAGATAACAGAAAACAGGCTTCCTGAGGTCCTTTCGCTTCGTTTCAATGCTTCTAATGGTGCTAATAGGTAGTGTAATGGTATAGGTATGACCGATTGGTTGTGTTTGTTGCTATTAGTGTTGTTGTTCTTGTAGTGACAGATTCAGAGGGGAAGCTCCGCGGTGCTTCGGCTTCCCGTGAAAAAGTCACATGTGTGTGTTAGAGGGCTCATTCTCTCAATGCCTGCTGATTGTAAAGCCCTGCAATTATATACTTAGCTAATGCTAATAGTGTAAGGAAGACAGTAGTGTATGATTGCAGGGCAATACGACCAACAGGCATCAATATTTATGTGTTCGAAGCAGCAGCGATCCTCTCGTCGGAAGGCTTCCATGGGCCGAAGAATGCGATCAGGCGGAGCGAACTATACCATAAAGACCATACATCTTTGCGTCCCTACTACTATTAGCGATAGCTATTATACCTGCAATAGTCAGATTGCTGAGCGCAACAGCGATTCCAGCCCACCTTTAGCAGCAGATGTCGATTCTTTTTGTTGTTGTTGTTCTCTCGTGGTTCTATCCCGATAAATGCGTTTCCAAGCACCAATGTTTCTAACAGCTTCTTGCTGGCTTATTAAGTTTGGGCATCCACCTTAAATAATTCGATTGATGCTTCTCATTCGATTGATTCGATTCGATTCGATTCGATTCGATTCTAATTCAAGCCACTCAGAAATTAAATACTGTAAGCGTAAAAGGTCCGAGATTCCACTTTTAGGTCAAGTGGAGCTACTAGACTATAGCAAGATCATGTCAATATGGGTCTATAGAGGTTGTAAACCTCCCCTCCAGACTAGGATCCAGGCAAAGGCAATGGCCCTGGATGATAGTCCACCATGACGATTCACAGAGACAATGGTACGACTATCTCTTGACGACTTGGAACTACTTCAGCACGAAACAGGTCCAGACATCTCAGATCGGTAACACCTCGTGCAAGACGACCGGCGTTCCTCACGGCACGAGTGCCAAGTTAGAGCTGGAATGCCAAACTGCGGGCGGCAAAACCACTCCAACACCATCCGAAGCACCAAACACCGGCTCAACCCCGCAGAACCGTGTCCATCGTCAAACCATACCGCGAGTGGAAGAAGGGGACCGATCATCATCTCCCGCCACGCAAGTACAACGGACGGAAGGGTACCATCCAAGGAGCCCGCCCTGGCAGATGGCCGTTCGTGGACATTCAAGTCTAGGACCCCCAAGTTGTGGCGGGTATCAAATCGACGTTTTACAAGACCGACACCGGCGTTCCGCTTGTATGAAAAGCAGTGTATACTGCTACACCGGGTCGTGGACATATATAAAAACTGCTCCACATAGGCACAAGTAGACACAGCCACCCCACACCGCACACCAAAGCTCCGCCACATCCCTGCAGTCGGCGGCGTAATTGGCCGGCTTGGCCGGCCGCCACGGGGGATTATATTATATGTCAGTCATTGAGAGTCTGGCTCCGAGGGAGGGTAAATTGGATGGAAGTAGGTCTGTCTGTGATACATGCAGCAGGCCTCTCTGGTATAACCAGGGCCATTGCCATTGCCTGGATCCTAGTCTGGAGGGGAGGTTTACAACCTCTATAGACCATATTGACATGATCTTGATATAGTCTAGTAGCTCCACTTACCTAAAAGTGGAACGCCCACCTTCCCAGAAGGAATGAAGAGATTCTACAGAACGGAGAGTATGAGTTAACAGGGAGCCGACCATAAGGAGACTGACGGACAGGAATCGGGGAGACCACTCATCCAAGGATGAGTGGTGGACCGAAGTGTCGGTGCACAGGTGGTGTGCCTATGGGTGTTGATGACTAGCTAGAAGGACTATAACGGGCGGCTACAAACAGGTTCAATTTTTCTGAACCAGAGTTGCAGCCGCCCGACACCACTTTTCCTTTTTCTCCTCCCTCCCCGCGGTAAATGGATGGAAGTAGGTCTGGTTGTGATACATGCAGCAGGCTTCTCTGGTATAA